CGAGACCAAGAGTTGGACGCTTAACCGACTGAGCCACCCAGGCATCCCTGGCTACTATAGTTTCTGGTAAGAAATTCCCTATCATTCAGGGGCGCCTGGGTGGCTCAGTCGGTTAAGCGGCTGCCTTCGGCTCAGGTCATGATCCCCGGGTCCTGGGATCGAGCCCCACGTCCGGCTCCCTGCTCAGTGGAGAGCCTGGTTCTCCCTCTTTCTCTGCCTGCTGCTCTGCCTACTTGTGCTGTGTGTCAAATAAATACACAAAATCATTAAAAAAAAAATTCCCTATCATTCTAATTACTTTCCCCTTTATAAAGAACAATTTTTCTCCAGATGCCTTTAAGATTTTTTTGAGACTTATTTTTCAGAAGTTTAATTATGATGTGTCTTGCATGGATTTCTTTCAATTTATTCTGTTTGATTTCACCTAGCTTCTTTAATTTGTAGCTTTATTAACTTTATTTCTCTTGCCAATTTGGGAAATTTTCAACATTATTTCCTCAAGTAATTTTCAGACCCAAACTATTTCTCCTCTCCTTCTGGGACTCACATAACAGGAATGTTAAATCTTTTGTCATAGTCCTATAGGTCTCTGATGCTCTGTTCATTGTCCTTAAGTCTTTTCTCCCTCTGCTATTCACATTTTTTACTGTTCTATCTTCTAGTTTATTGATTCTTCTGTACCCCAATCTCTACCTGATTCTGTTGCTGGCATATCTACTGAGCTTTTTACTTCAGTAATTAAATTTTCAGACTTTATATTTTTCATTATTTATTTCAACTGTGCTCCTAACTGCTAGTCAAAACATTTCTATTATGGTTACCTCAAAATCTTTGTCATTTGGTGTTATTATGTATTTTCTTCTTCTCATTCATTTGGGGACCTTGCTGGGTCTTGGTATGATTTTTGATCAAAGCTTGGACATTTTCATATTATAAGACTATGAATCTTATTTAAAACTTCTGTTTCAGCTGGCTGTTTTGTGACACAGCTCTGTCAAAGAAGCAATGTGGTTACTGCCTCATTATAGCCAGGTGGAGGGTGAAGTATAGGTTCCCCACTTAAACTCAGCTGACAACTGCAGAGGGGAAATCTTCATTACTGTTACGTGGAGGTAGGAGTTCTGGTTTCCTATGTGATGTCCACTGAGGAAAGGTTAGTCATTACTGGCAGGGTTAGTCTCATTACTGCTGGGTGATGGTAAAAGGACTACTTCTGTATTAGGCCTCCTCTGATCTACCCCAGTAGAAGAGTTAGGGGCACCTCATTATGCTGGGTGGGGAGAAAATTCCAGGTTTCTCATGTAGTCTCCACTGACATTGTGGTGTGGGGTGTGGATGGGGGACTTGACCAGCTGACAGAGATGAAAATTTTGGCTTTTTGGTTGGCCTTCTCTAAGACTATCTGATACTACTTTTGTGTGGTGTTGGGGATGCCTCATTACAGTCTCATGAAGGTGGTAGGCTAGGCCTCCTAACTGACCTTTGTTGTCAGGGGTGGGGATGGGAGTCATAAGTATTTTCTTTGGTGTTTGGTTGGAGTAGAGCAGTTATTGTCTAAATGTTTTCTGTCTTTCTAGGTTATTCCTTTCCTGGTCCTTTGGCTAGAAAAGGGTGGGCTTCTGTTGGGGTTCTTTTGGTCAGTGCTTGTTGATGTTTCTAGGCTGCTATTTCAGATCCAATTTGGAGATACAGGAGATGAAGAGAAACCCTTGAGAACCCATATCATGTCATTCCTTGGTCCTGTGTTGGTCTGTCTTCCTTTTCACCTTTCAGAGTCTTTCTATGTTTGTTTTATATGTAACGTCCAAGGTTTTGTTATACTTAGTGTGAAGAATAAGGAGAGTATGTCTCTTTGATCTTCCTAGAAATGAAAGTTCCCACTGTACAACCTAATGGTCCTCAGTATATTCACAGATAAGTGCAATCATCACCACAGTCAATTTTAGAACATTTTCATCAAAAAGAAACCCTGTACCCTTTAGCTATCACCCTGATCATCCCTCATCCCTCCAACTAGTCCTAAGCAACCACTAACCTACTTCCTGTGTGTGTGTGTGTGTGTGTGTGTACAGTGGTATTTCATATAAATGGATCATAACACATGTCTTTGTGACTGGTTTCTTTCATCTAACATAATGTTTTCAAGGTACATCCACACTGGAGCATGTCAATACTTCATTCCTTTTCATGGCCAAATAATATTCCATTATATGAATATATCACATTTTATCCATTCATCCATTGATGGACATTTGTGCTCCTTCCACCTTTTCGCTATTATGAATAATGCTCCTATAAACATCCACGTACAAGTTTTTGTCTGGATATACAATTTCATTTCTCTGGGGTATCTATCTACCTAAGAGAGGAATTTCTAATCATATGGTAATTCAGTGTTTTACTATTTGATGAGCTGCCAGATCGTTTTCCATAGCAGTTACACCATTTCACATTCCTACTAGCAGCGTAAGAGGGTTCAGATTTTATCAAATCCTAGCCTACAGCTGTTATTATCTGACTTTTTGATTCTAGCCAGCCTAATGGGTATGAAGTAGTATCTCTCTGTGGTTTTGATTTGCACTTCTCTGATAATGACGTCAAGCATCTTTTCATGAGCTTATTGGTTATTTGCATATCTTATTAAGAGAAATGTTCATTCAAGTCCTAATTTTTTAATTCAATTGTTTTCTAATTATTGATTTGTATGAGTTCTTTGTATATTTTAGATTCAAGTCCCTTATCACATGTATGATTTGCAATTATTTTTTCCAATTCTGTAGGTTGTCTTTTCACTTCATTTAGTGTCCTTTGAAGCAACAAAGCTTAAAGTTTGATGAAGTCCAATTTATTTATTTTGAAGATTTTATTTATTTATTTATTTGAGGGAGAGAGTGTGTGAGTGGGAAGGGTAAGAAGGGGAGGGACAGGGAGAAAGAATCTGAAGCAGATTCCACAACTGGGCAGGGAGCCCAACATGAGGCTTGATCTCAAGCCCGTGAGATCATGACCTGAGCTGAAACCAAGAGTTGGATGCTTAATCAACAGAGCCATCCAATCCAGGTGCCCTGAAATCCAATTTATTTAATTTTTCCTTTGCTGTTCATGTTTTTAGCATCATATGTAAAAATCCCTTTTATTTATTAATTATAGCTCCATAAAGGTGAGGAAAAAAAACCTTAGCAAAATCCAAGGTCATGAAAATTTACCTCATATTGTCTTTAAGGAATTTTATACTTTTAGCTCTTACAATTAGTTTTTTTTAATGTATTTTGAGTTAATTTTTGTGTATATATATATATATAGGGTGAGGTAAGAGTCCAACTTCATTCTTTTGCATGTAGCTATCCAGTTGTTCTGGCACCATGTATTGAAAAGACCATTCTTTCTCTACTGGATGGTCTTGGCATTTGTCAAAAATCAGTTGACCATAGATGTATGGGCTTATTTCTAGAATCTCAATTCTATTCCATCGATCAATATGTCTATCCTTGGTGCAAGTGCCATACTGTTTGATTATTGTTTTGTACTAAGTTTTGAAATACGAAGTGTGAGTACTCCTACTTTGTTCTTTTTCAAATGTCTCTTTTACTAATACTGTTCTGTGTTTTTTTTTAAACGAAAATCTATTTATAATTTTTCTTTATAGTTTCCAAAGCACTTTCACACACCTAATCTCAACTGAACTTCACATACCTGTTGCGTAAAAAAGTGTATTACGTTTGACAAATACGCAAATAGGAACAAAGACCCCAAGTAACTCACTTAAAGGGAAATAGCATGTAAGATAAGCCATTAAAAATATATACGGAATGCTAAAGGTTTATGTACTTAATACTGTACAAGGCACTTGGATGTCTTTTAAATTGAAATGAGATAAAAGTGCCTGCCCTCTAGGAGGGGCTTATAGTCTAGTGCAGTGGTCTTCAACAATTTTGCTCATGCACTCTCTACAAGAATTTAAAAAAAACATGTATTAAATTAACAACTATAAGAAATTTTCATCACAAGTTTAAACTGCTGCAAAAGATATAATTTCCAGTGTACTGTATGTTAATGTATATGTGCTTTAAATATATTTTCATCAAATTGTAGAGCTACAATTTTGCCTGATACAATACATATAAAATGCCTGCTATTAACTTAATGACAAATCAATCAGCCACCATCAAATTCACTTTCTGTTAGTAAATGTCTGACACTTCATATGTCGATTTAACTGAACGTATTAATACAAATGTCTACGATAAATACCTCCCTTTTGAGTTACAATTCTTTTTTTTTTAAGATTTTATTTATTTATTCATAAGAGACAGAGAGAGAGAGAGAGGCAGAGGGAGAAGCTGAGCAGGGAGCCCAATGCGGGACTCGATCTCAGGACCCTGGGATCATGACCTGAGCTGAAGGCAGATGCTTAACCATCTGAGCCACCCAGGCGCTATGAGCTACAATTCTAAGATTGTATGTTCTTGAATGAACTTTTTTTGGGTGACAAACCTTCTGGGACAATGTAGGATTTGGGTAAGTGTGTGGTATGCCTTTTTTTTACAGAGTTGAAGAATACAAAAGGTGAGGCAAGAGACTGCAGAAGAGTTCTCAGGCACTGATTTTAGTAAAATCCAGGGGATCTGGAAATTAATGTCCTCAAAACTAACCAAGCCAATGTGCCCCTTAAAAACCTTGGTATAGTGAAGATATTCATATCTTAGTTTGAAGACCACTTGTCTACTGGTCACAGCTGTGAGGAAAATCGAGATCTCCTAAACCTAGGAGTTTAGTACTAAAAATATACTCACTCATAAAAAAAAGTCAACAATTTTCCTTTCGAAGTCCAAACTGTTTCTGTCTTTGCAGATAGGATATAAAGTAGAAACAATAACAAACCTGGCGTTAAGTTGTTGAGTCTCCTAAAGTAATTCTTCTAAAATAAGCTAGGAAGAAATAGAAAACCAATGCTTCCAAATAAAAATACAATGATATTTGTTATTATTTAAGAACAATACCTCCCAACCAAGACCAGCTACAAAATCTTCATACGCTTGACTTCCTCCTGTATTGGTGAGAATGGAATGTTTGTCTTCTTGTCCTTCAGCAACATAAAATACTGCGATCTTGTGGGTCTCTCGACTGTAAAACAAAAGATTACACTGTTCATTTAATCATTAATTTATTCATTCACCCAATAATTAAGTTCAGTGTACAAAGTATGTGGCAATAAAAAGATGAAAATGAATTAAATCTTGTAATCTACTAAGGAAGATATGTAATTATAAGTAAAAAATTAGAAAAGTTATAAACTTGCCAGTAGAACAAAAGAGAGGTGTGATTACTTCTGACTGGAGAAACAGAGAGACACTTAAAGGAGAAAGTTACACTGAGTTGGGTGAAGGCAAGTGAGATCTGACAAATGAAGAGGAGAAAGAGTATCAGGAAAGACATGTGTGAATGCATGAAGCATCTGAGGAGTCACCTGTTGTACAATGTGGCTAAATACCAGAGTTAAATGGACATGTTTTAGAAATAAAACTAAGTAGGAATACAGAGATGACTGAGAAATGATCCATTTCTTCAAAGTGCAGAATAAGAAAAAAGAAATTTATACACAAATATTACAGAACTGTATCGAATAAGTGACAAGCTCTTAGACATTTTCTTTTTAGATCTCCTTCAAATTAAAAATGTTCATAAAAACAAATTTCTTGTATGACATTTGGCTTTCCAAGTTAACTAGGGCACACTACATTTGGTCTAGTGTGGTTTAACAAAGCATGGGTTAATGAACTTTATGACCAGAGGTAATGTTTTCACTACTGTAATTTGTAGAAATTAGAAAGCAAGCAAACAAACCATAGCCAAAGAACTGAAATTATTTTAAAAAGTTAGTCAGACAACCAGATTTTCCTACATATCTTGAGGAAGTTGTAAGGTCATGATTGTGGGTTTAAACATCAGCAACTTAAAATCATGAACAAAGATATTTTAGCTGCTTTCACTAATGGCAGTATTTCACTTTATGGGGTGAACACTTAGGCAACTTTTGGTATATTCAATGTATTGTTAGGATAATCTAACCTAAGTAATAAAATATAATTGGGGGGGGGGGAACTTCAGTAAACCCTTTCTCAAGCAAAATAACAATTTAAGTGGTGAAAATGATTTTTAAAAAATCATTTAAATTCTCTGCATATTGTCCTAAGGGCATATAGCAAATGGACAAACATTCATTCAAGAAAATCTACCAAATCTAGTAAGAACAGAATGAGTCTTTGGCATCCCTTACCCCACCCCTTTACTTCCACATTATAGCTTTATCCTGGGCATTCTACTCAGGCCAATATAAGGGTTCCCTTCTCCCCTCCAGTTCCCAGACTGGGAATATGTTTCATCCTGGGAAAAATAGGCTTCTGGCTGTGTTTCTCATCTTCCCCAGATCCATGCTGCACAAAATCTATTCCAGGCAGTTGTGACTGAGAACCATGTCTCCCTTAACTCTTCCAGCTCCTTCTGTTACGATGGAAGCTCTAGGTGCAAAAGGCTTGAGTCTTCCCAATCTTCCCCACTCTAGCTTACCAATAGGCTAGAGGTTTCACACCAGTAGGTGAAAGCTAAGATGAAGAACTGCCAATCCTTCCCTAACTGTTCACTTGTAGAGTGAGAGTGTTACTCCAAGAAAAGTTGGTTCTTGACCCCAGCTCAGGTATAGTGGGGTTCTGCCACTACTTGTGTTCTGCTCAGGGTGAAACACAGGTCATAAGGACAAAGAATTCAGCAGCAGCTCTGCCTGAGGGGAATGATTTGATTTTGAAACAAAACTTGGAGAACTCCATGCCTATGGGTTTGTCAAAAACAAGAAAGAGGTGGAAAGCCATTAAGAGAAGCTAACACTTCCAGACACAAGTAAAACAGCAGAGCAGCCAGAAGTTTTAACAGAGAGAAGCAGGAAGAGATAGCCAAGAAGGGTTCTTTTGGGAACACAGTCAAGTTTACAGGTCAAGAAGCCTGTGCACATGTACTACCTTGCACCCACACAGGAGCAATCAGAGTAAGATGCAGGACAGACATGAAAGCATGCCCCAAGCCACACAGACCTATCAACACAAGGGGAAGCCTCACAAATACTCTACTTGAGCTCAGGGTCAACTCTTAGGAAGCCACAACTTAAAAACAACACCCAGTCAATCCTGGCAGTCTAGACGACTGTGCATATCCAAAGTGTACTCTATTTGGATCAACCAGAGAGCAAACCTCCAAGCTACTAGTCTCTGGGTGAACATGGGACAAAAAAAACATAAACATTCTGAATTTGATAGCAGCCTCCAAGCCACACATACATCCACAGTAAACAATAAAAATCTAACTGGCTAAGGGGGCTAAAATACAAACTTTGATTAGTAGTAGATTATGTCAACCCAGGGGGGAACCCATGGGTAGCCCTACTAAAAGATAAAAAACATTTTAAAATTTTTGAGCAGGGAGAGCTGAGGCTGCACATGGTGGGGGAATAGACTTTGCAGGATTAGTTCAGCCAAATCACTAGAAAATAAACAAATGACCAAGCAGGGCACTTTTGATTCAAAGACACAAATAATGTTGAAAGTAAAGTAAATGGAAAAAGACACCATGCAAACAGTAACCAAGAAACCTGGAGTGGCTATATTAATATCAGACTTTAAAATGAAAAATATTAGTGATAAAGAGACATTTCATAATGTTAAAAGGTCAGCCTACTAGGAAGATATAAAAATTAAAAACACACATGCACTCAACAGAGAACTTCAAAATACATGAAGCAAAAACAGAAATGGAGGCAGAAATAGGCATTTCTACAATCACAATGGAAGACTTCGATACCCCACTTTTTAATAGTGGACAAAACAAGAGAGTACCAACAAGGAAACGGAAGACTTCAATAATACTGTAAACCAACTAGATCTAAAATAAATTTATACAACACCCCACAAAACAGTAGTAGAGCACACATTCTTCTCAAGGATACAGGAACATCCGATAGGGTGGACTGTATGGTAGGTCAGAAAACAAGCCTCAATAAATTTGAAAGGATTGAAATTATGCAAAGTGTATTTTCTAATCACAATGGAATGAAATTAGAAATCAATAAAAGATAAAAACTTCGGGAATTTCACATGTATGTAGAAATGAAACAATGTACTCCTAAATAACTGAGAGAATCAATGTCAAGGGAAATAAGAAAATACCTAGAGATGATGAAAATGAAAACATAACATACCAAAATTGATAGCATACAGGCAAAGCAGTGCTCCCTTGTAAATTTATAGATGTAAATGCCTATATTAAAAAAGATGAAAAGATCTTGCATCAATAACTAAACCTTCCACTTTAAGAAACTAGAAAAAGAGCAACTAAAATCAAAGCAAGAAAAAGGAAATTATAATAAAGACTAGAGTGGAAATAGAACAGAAAAACAACAGAAAAATCAATGAAACCAAAACTTGGCTTTTTGAGATGATAAACAAAATTGATAACTTTATAGTTAGACTGAACGAGGAAAAAAAGAGAAGACTCAAATTACTAAAATCAGAATCTAAGGAAGAGACATCACTATATACGGTACAGAAATAAAAAGAATTGTAAGGGAAAATGCTGACCAACTATATGCCAACAAAATAGATAAAACAGATTAAATGGAAAAATACCTAGAGACACACAAATTACTAAATCCAACTCAAGAGGAAAGAGAACACCTGAACAATTACAAAGAGACTGAATTAGTAATGTGATTGAAAAGGACGAAGTAAAACGAGGTCCCTCCACTTGCAGATGAGATGATTTTGTATATAGAAAACCCTAAAGAATCCACTGAAAAGTTTTTAGAGTTATTAAATGAATTCAGCAGGTTTCAGGATACAATAACCACATATAAAAATCAATTGTATTTCTATATACCAACAATGAACAATCAAAACAAAACTAAGAAAATTCCTTTTATAATACTATACCATCAAAAATAATAAATTACTTGGGTATGTAAGTACAAAAGTACTTAACAAAAAGTTAAGTATAAAACTTGTACTCTGAAAATTACAAAACACTGTCAAAAGAAATTAAAGATCTTAAAAAAAATCCCATTCATGGACTGAAAGATCTAATATTGTGAAGATAATATCCCCGAATTGATCTACAAACTTAATGTAATCCCTACCAAAATCCCAGCTCCTGTTTTTGTAGAAATGGACAAGCTCATCCTAAAATTCACAGGAAGATACAGAAGATCCAGAATATCCATAACTATCTTGAAAAAGAAGACAAAGTTGGATTCATAATTCCCAATTTTAAAAGCTGCCACAAAGCAGCAGCAATCAATGCACTGTGGTAGTGTCATAAGAAGGGACAAACAGATGTATATGGAACAGAATCTTTGATTTAGAAATAAACCCTTATATCTGTCATCAGTTGCTTTTCTGACAAGGATACCATGACAATTCAATGGGAAAAGAAGAGTCTTTTCAACAAATGATGCTGGGGCAACTGGGTATGTACAAGCAAAAGAATGAAGGTGGATTCTTACCTTGCAACTTCCGACCTCACACCAAAAACAACAAAAAGGACGTTAGATCTTAATATAAGGTTTAAAACTATAAAGTTATAAAAAAGTTTATAAAACTAATGTCCATGGCAAAAAACTACATGAATGTTCACAGCAGCATTATCCATAATATCCAAAAAGTGAAACCAACCCAAATGTCCATCAACTGATGAATGGATAAACAAAATGTAGTATATCCATACAATGGAATATTATTCAGCTTAATAAAAAGAAATGAAGTGCTGAGAACACACTGCAATACGGATGAACTTTGAAAACACTACGCTAAGAAGCCTGCCACAAAAGACCATATATTGTTTGACGCCTTTTATATGAAATGTCCAGTATAGGCACATCTATAGAAATAGAAAGTAAATTAGCGTTGTCTAGAGCTGGGGAGTGGGGGAAGGGGGTGGTTGGCCGTAATGGGGAGTTACTAGTGACGGGTATGGAATTCCTTTTGAAGGAACTAAAATATTCTAAAATCAGGTTGTTGTGACAGTTGCACAACCCTGTGAATATACTAAAAACATGTATACTTTTAAAATAAGTAAACTGTATG